GCATGACTATCTATGATATCGCACACTAGCCCTATGCTCCTGCTAGGAGTGAAGAAAGATTAAAAAAAATTGCAAAAATACACAACTTTTTATTTAAAACATTTTCCTGGTAACTGTGTGCCCAAAATGTGAGTTTTTTGTTATTTTAAAAATTTATAATTTGTAAAATTTCTATTTTTTTACTTCAATGTTGAAATTTTTAAACTTTTTAAAATTCTTTCGGAATTAGTGTTTAAATTACAACTATTACTTCAACTCTTTTTCCCTTAAGATGTTTTGGAATTCAACATTTGATGGCAGCAAACTCTCAATTTCTAATGTACGTGCAGGGTATTTAAATAATTGCTTTTCTTTTTTTTAATGTAGTGTAGGACGTTTTGAATGATATGGAAATTGCATAAAAGAAAAAGTGAAAAAGAACAAAAAATATAATGTATACAGCTGCATTGTATCAATCTAATGAAAGAACTAGAAAAATAGAAACAATTATTAGCACCATCAGGTTTTTAGTAAAAAAAAAAAAATCTATAAGAAGAAAATTTCGAAAAACCGAAAAAAAAAAGAAAATATTTTTTGAAATTTCACAATTAACTATTTTTTTTTTCTTTTTTGATGGTATTATCTTAGCAATATCCTTGTCAATAAGATTTCTGACATATTTCAGGTGTTGGTGTACTCATACGCATAATATATGTACACGTTATATATGTATGATGTTTGAAATCTGTATGAATATATTTCTATACTCATTTGTATGTACATTTATAAATTATTTAAAAATAAAACACGCAAAAAAGTTTATGAAAAATTTCTTATTATGGTGAAACTTTTCACCAAATTAAAAATATTTTAAGAAACTTAACATAGTAGATGGAGCCTGTGATAGATACTTTGATGCTATATTTAATTTTCATAATTTAATTGTTATTCTGTTCAGTATTCAATGATCAATCAATATTGAAGAACAATCACTGTCATGTTTATGCACAAACGTATATATATATCTGCATTATTATTAGTAAAGGTGCGAAATTTTCTTTATATTTTATGTAAGCATACCTACATACAATATAATATTGCGTGGTATTTAGCTTTAGAATCTTATCTTTTATACAAACAAGAATTTTATTCAAGGGTTCAGTGCACAGAAAGAAATAATATAATGTAGAAGTTTTAAAAAAGTATTTTTTTATTGTCTGTTTATTTTAATAATTTTTTTTTTGTTTAATGTTTTTCTCTGTGTTCTATTTGATTTTACTTTCGCAATTTAAAGTAGGAAAAAAAAATAGTTTTCTTCCGTATGATAAATGCATATAATCGTTTAGTTGAATATAGAATGACAAAGGCTGCTTATATTTACAAAAAAATTATAGTTCTTTTACTCTTGTGTGTTTGCGGATGCAGCAGATACAAGTTTATAGGAACAAAGTATACGATATTTACATATAATATGTACGTGGATTCACATATAGTTATTGTTCAACTTTTATAATAATTTAAGATTTAGATAAATTTAGAGATTCTTTGTATATCATTGTACATAGTTTAAGTTTAAAGATAGAGCATTGTCTTGACTCTCCTTTCCTTATATGATCTACCTATATATATATATATATATACAAAGAAAATAACTATTTTGTTTTTTCTTTAATCTTTGTATAAATGCAGTTATACAAATATTTTTAACTTTATTTTTCTCTGTAAGATACATAAGATGGTATAAGAGAGTTTGTGTACTTATAACAGGCAAAAATTATAATTACGTGTTATAAGTGCATTTGTGTACATAATATGTATGTATGTACTTGAATATTTACACTTTTTTTTGTGTTACAAAATATAATCCAAGTTAAAAAAAACGATTTCTTGTGCCCACATAGATAATTAGACCGGAAAGAAGTGAATTATGTTTGTTGATTTTTCATTTAAATCTTGCGAGTGTTAAATGAATAACTGACTTTAGGTTTAAATTTAATTATATTTCTTACACGTAATTATATTTGAAGAGGTTTTTGTTTCAGAATAAATAATTTTTAACTTAAAATTATGGTAAGAGGTGATAGATACACGTATGTGTTCTTTTCTAACAAATATGTATGTATATTTTTTTATAATCTATTTAAAATTGTTAGCTTCATTGCAACTGGCGTTCCCGTTTGAGTGCACGCAAAAAGCAAACATAAATAGAAAAGAAAGCCAGAATGGGCGAATTTAAAATTCAAGTTTTATTTTTCTTCAAAAAAATCCTATCATTAACAATTAGTATTACAAATTTAAAATTTTAATACAACTCGTTGCCCATTAATCAACGTCTGTTTGTAGGTTTATTTTGGAAAAAAGGTAGAATTCAAAAACTTTTACGACTTTAAAACGCAGAAAGTCTATTTTAATTCGTACAGACCAGGAATAAAAATAACACTTGGAAACGTTATTCCTATTGATGATCAAATCTTTTCCAGAAGTCTATTTATTTTATTTTTAATATGCACATGCATTATTTCATTTTGACAATTTTTTTGCTAGGGCAGTAATTGTAACTTCCATTAGCAAGTATTTTACACTATACTTGTGAAATTTTTCGAATATTCGAAATAATTGCGGGTCAGGATTAGGGTCTGAAAAATTATTATGTTAAAAATTGTTTAGTTAAAATTCTTAGTTGATTTTGTTATTGTGTTTGTGTCATAAATAGTTTTAAATGCTATAACGATAAGTCCCATATCTTGCCAATTGTAGTAGAAAGTCGACTCGTTGTTAGCGCGGTTTTAAAGAATTTTGATTATTTTGGTTAGATTATTTAAGTCAGTGCCTTCCATTTTTGAAGTTTAGATAGAAAACTTATAAAATTTCTAAGAATGAAGCATTATTTTTTTGGGGTTCACTAATTTCAATATGTCATCTACTTCGTAATTGTTCTCCGTCATTTTGTGGCATATTTTGTTCTTATTTTGTGAATATTTATTTAAGCCAAATTTTCAGTAGTCAATCCGGAGCTTATTTCCATGAACTAACAATGGTTTGACAATGTATTTATAATAATACTCTTTTCTTTTCTCTCAATTGTAATCCCTAGAGAAATTTATTCAAATTACATTCTTAATATTTTTAACAATTTACACACTTTAAAAAATGGGCGTCTCAAAAATTAAAATGAACATCTTAAAAAACAATGAAAGAAGAAAATCAGTAAAATAATTTATTTGTACAAATATGTAGAGGAATGTGTCTACAATCTCTTTGAGATAAAAATATTTGCGCAACCCAAAATATGTATATGAACGCATTTAGATAACGTACAGATTTTTTTTAACTCGTTCGCTTACCTTTTTAAATTTTTTTTAATTCTATCACGACTTCAATGAATTTTTCTTACAATTAAGGTGAAATTTTTTATTTTTTTATGTTTTTTTAGATTTTCGGGAAAAAAATGCTGTTTTATGTAATTTTTTTGTAAAAGCAATTTATGAAAAATTTTCAGAAAAAAAAAAATTTGTTCTTGTTTTCATTTTTCAAACGGCTCTATAAAGGTTGAATTATCATAATTATATTTTTTTTTCACTTGTACTTGATCTTGTGAAAACATTAAAAAATTTCAAGGTGTTCCGTATACCAAGTACTTCCTTCTTTTATCATTTCATAACAGAATATATGAATTAAAAATTAGTAGGAAAATATTGCTTTTCAGGCAATTCCTTAAGAGATTTGAATATTAGACACTTCTAATTGTTTTATTAAATTTCTCAATTATCGAATAGAATCAGTTTTTAAATCGCTCAGTTTTTCTTAAAATATAAGGTCATGACCAAGGAGTAGCTTTGAACACAATCAACTATGAAAGTAATCAAATTTCAAATAAAAGGATAACATAAATGGGTATGAGCAATGATAAACTAGCTGAGAAATTGTTAAAAAGCAAATTATACCATTTACAAACAGCAATTGTGTACCAACAATTCAAAATTGGAACCAAAAAACTAGGAGTTTAACCTATGCGCGATTGAATACCTTGTATTGCGTATCGTTTAATTTTTATTTATCAGATAAAAATCGTTGTTATGTACACAATCATTACCATTGTAAAGCTTTTGCTTTTGATGTTATCTTTTATAATCGATTGCCATCAAAGATTATCGCCTTTATATCAGTCATACTTTTATACATACATATGTATATAAATCGGCATTTTATTTTGTAAAAAAAGAAACGAATAGAGTTAACTTTTTGAAAGAATCAGGTTTCTTGTATGATTTTAATGCGTTTTTCATGATGGAAGGTGGAAGGTAGATGAGTCAATCATCGAGTATTTATTAAAATATTTGTTCGTTTTTAATATTCTTAACAAAATAAATAATATTCCAAAGTGTATATTAATTTTCTGAACAGATTGAGCTCTACAACGTAATTTAATTTAAAAAGTCATTAGAAATCTCTTCCTGATTTTTTCTAAAAAAGAAACTTTATGCAATACAAACTGGTTTACAAATTCAATATTCAATAACATGTATAGGAATGTTGTTCAAAGGAATATTCAGGATGTTGGTTTTGGCGTCACGAATTTTGCACATTCCTTTATATAATCAAAATTATAAATTCCTATGGAAACCGAAAATGTGCCATGGTTTTTTTATTTAGTTTTTAAATACGTTTGTATAAAAATTTTCAACCACTATTAATAAATTCTTTTTTATAATGTTATAGTTGTTAACAGTTCCCTTAGGAACCTACTTCAATAGTTTATTGACTTAATAGTGTGGGTTAATTCTTTGAAATATAACTGGAACCAAAATTTAATACAAAATTTCATTTCAACAAAGAATCAATGCTTGAAACTTTAAAAGCAAATTTAATTTTTATTGAAATTTAAATATTTTTGACTTTTCCAATATTTTTAAAACTTTTTAACAAATTTTCAAAATAAAATTAAATAATTTTTTAATTTTTTTCTACAACATACATACTTAAACTTTTGATTGATTGCAAATAAATTTTAAAAAAATAAAATGAGTTACGATGAAGTTGTTGTATTGGAAAAACCACTCCAACATTTAGGACTGGGCGATTGGAATTCTCGAGTCTCACAATTGCGTAATGTTGCTGAAACTAAAAATGATACAGCTTTTCAAATGCGTCATGATGCTCGGACTTTGCGAAATGAAACACGCATCGAAGCTGATTGGACTAACTATCAAACAAATATAGCATTATCAGAGCGAAAAGCCGAAATTGAACGCTGGAGAATTACAATTCAGCAAATGTTGAGACGCATTGAAAATGAAATGCAATTGTTGCGAGAAGAAAAGGCTACAACGGAACGAGAACTGCAAGGTTTGTTCATATGCATACAAAAAATAATAATAAAAATATTTTAAAATAAATATTCTTTAAAAGCAATGACAATTCCGCTTGCTGTTATAAGCGAATGCTTAAGCGCTAGGGATGGTCGGCTAGGGTCTGAATTAACCTATGATGAGGCTGATATCGAACTTAAAAAAGAACTGTCCATTGTTGAAAATAATATGAAACAATTACGTGATCAATGTCAAGGCACATGGGATAAACTGAACCGACTAGAAGATGTTCATTTCAAATTAAGTTTAGAGATTACAAATAAAATTGAAGCCGAAGAAGTCGATATCGCACAAATTGATTTGAATAAATTTGCTGCATGTATAACGTTTAAGCCTGATCCAATAAGAAATCCAAAAAAGTATTTATAAAAATTTTAGGTTTAATTATTCAGTTTCTATAAGTCAAATGGATTTATTTTCAGTTGTGTTACGTATGAAGCGTGGCTGGATCACACTAAAAATATCAAGCAAATGGCAGATAATGAATTAGCTGATACATATGCTATCCGTGAATCACTTTTTGTTTGGTAAGAAAATATTTTGTCTTTTTAATACTTTATAAACGAATAACTTCTAATTTTTATGTTCTTAGTCGGGAAAAAGCTAAAAATATTTTAAAGGCACAATCAGATAAAACGGAGCAAACCCTTCGTAAAAGAATTTTTGAAATACAGAGAGCAAGGAACGAATTGGCTTGGCAAAAATTTAAGGTAAGGAATTTGAAACTTCTTATTCTTAATAAATATCTCAAAAAAAAAAAAAACTATTTTAGCAAGCTGAAGAAATTGAAAGAGTTAAATGCGAAATAAAGACATTGGAGCAAGCTTTACTTGATAAAACAAATTCTTTAAAATTGGCTGAAACAAGATTAGAAAATCGTGCCCAACGTTCTGGTATCGAATTGTGTTTGGATGAAGCACATGAAAAATTAGTTGATGAAGTTATACGTTTACGTAATATTCGTCGTCTCTTAAATGAAAAAATTGATTGTGCTAAAACGAATTTGAATTCGTTGGCTGTCCATCTAATAAAACTTGAAGAAGATTTAAATAATAAACAACACGCTCTTATGACAGATATAAGATCTTTAGATCTACGTTGTCAATTAAAGAAAGGACCAACAGATACACAAACTGATCGTAATATAAAATTGGTTAAAATGGAAGATGAAATCCCAAATTCCCACAAAGAAATTTTGTCATCGCATAATTTGCTTTAATTTTATAAAAATCAAAATTTCTCTAATATTTATCTAAATACGTGTGTTATATAAGATACAATTTGACAAATAAATTTCAAGTAAAATAAATTGATCTACTTTTTCATTACATTTTTCTACTACTTACTATTTTCAATTAAAAATTGCACCTTACTCGTTTCCCATTATCATTCAAACAAGAAATTTGCATTTACAATTCGCATGGCATAAAAAATCAAATATTCCGACATAAAAAGTGCCAGTCACGTTATCGACAGATTTTAATTCACTAAATCTTTTGATTTAAGCAAAGCATATAGATATTTCGCCAGCAATAACTGTCAATTTAAACGTTAATTCACATTTTAGAATATTGAAATGAAAATTTTGTACTGAGTATCATTTCACTGCGCGGTGTAGTTTTAAATCTGCATATTTTTATTTAGGCTGCTATGAATTTAAATTAAAATTTGCGTTACTAAGAATTTTTTCTATTTTCAAAAAATTCATTATGTATGTATGTACATATGTATACTGATTTGGAAAAAATATTAGGATCACACGCTAAACTACTCAATATAAAATGATAATGATAAAACATTATTATTTTGTATTTAAGTATGCACTTACGACAAAATAACTGTAAACTAAAGAGAAGTTTCTCTATATAATGTGGTAAAATATTTAAATATGGTAAAGGATTTTTCACTTTTAATTTTTATTCGAATTGATAAATTATTTTTGACATTTTAACTATTTTATGTATAATATTATGATCTATATTAAAATAAAAAAATTGTCCACGGCATTAAATTTTAAGCATTTGTTTGGTAAATTCCGTCCGATATGTCATCGATCATTCGTTGTATATTTCAAAAACTACAGATGCTCCACAGAAAAATATAAAGTTTCAGAGCACATTATCTCGCTGACTAATTCTCAGATCCAAATCTTGAATTTAATTGTTATTTGGGCTTTAGTTTTTCTATTTTAGTGAAACGGTAAACCAGACTGAATTTTTTTGATGTTGCCAGCTATCAAAATCATTATTACTCAGATAATGAATAATAATGTAAGTGTCAAAAACAAGAAAAAACAACTAATAAAAATATCACTCGTTAGAAGTAATAATTGCAAATGTTCTTCAATGTCAAGTTCAAATCAATTTTATTGCAGTATAATTTTCAGGCGTAAAGTAACCAAGTATAAAACAAAATATATTTATTCCTAATGAATTCTTGTGTGTAAAAAATGCGTTTTTTAAGTTTTTTTTTTATTAGAAATTCAAATTCATTTTTTTACGATTTAATTTTAAAAAACTTCTTCTGAAACTTATATAACTTTAACAGTTTGCGTGTTACAACTATGGGAGCATATTTTGGACCAATTTGTCTAATCTATGGTTTCCTTTAAAGATATACAATATAACCAAAAATAGAAAATTGCAGCAGTAGTTTATTATACATGCACATAAATGAAAAATTTGCATACTTTTAGGACCAACATATTTTTCAAGTTATTTCTTACATATACATACCTTGTGTATAGCTTATGATTTTGCTGTAATAATATAATAATATGTACATTATATTCGAATATTTATTTCTTCACCCGGAAATAATGTAATCTCGTAAAATTAAGTGTTCCTATTCTAATTTTGCACAAATATTAAATTCACAAATATAAAAATTTCAAATTTATTACGACTTTCCCTTACAAGCTTTATCACTTTTTTTCAAAAAATGCTGGTTAATTAAATAATAAAAAGAAGAAATTGTATTCCTTCTAATGCAGGTTTACTTCCTTAAATGTTTTTAAATATTTTTTTATATAAAGATATTTGTAAATTTCGCGTTGTATACAATGCTCAATATATTTTATTATGAACATTGTACACAACTCACGTTCAGTTTGCCATTTCATTTATATACTCATTCTTTGATTAAGGATCTTAAGTAATATCGTTTTAATAAAAATGAATTTTTGTGAAATATGGTATGCAGATTTATTCAAATTATAAAATTTTTAAAAAGTAAATGTTAAAATTTCCCAATTATAATAACTTGACAATTACTCTTGAACAATTTGGTAATTGAACTTTTGGCAACAATAAAAAAATTTCTAAAATTCTTTTGAAATATAATTTAAATAAATTAATAAACAAATAAAAATTATACACATGGCTATTTCAACTTTATAAATTACTATTTGTGCGTGATTTGATAAAGGATTTTTATTTATAATCGCTGTCCTTATAAACCAGTAAGTTATGAATGAAACCAATTTTCTTTAGCTATTAAAGAGCTTTGTCTCCTAACTAATGCAATTTATTTATATATAAGTCCGTTGACAAAATAAATTTTTGTATATTAATAATATTTCAGCGAAACACGCACATATGTACGTAAATTATTGAATAAGAATTGGCATAAAAATAGTGCAACCTATCATTAATTTGTATGTGGTGAAGCATAAGAGTTCATCGGTACCTGCATAATAAATATTTTTATACTGTAAAATTATTTTCTTTACAAACTATTGAGATTTTATTATAAAACTAAATGAAATATGTATTTGCTAAAAATTAACGAGAAAAAAATCAATCATAAGGAGAAAATATTCAATTTTTTTTGTGGAATTCAAATCCTAATCAGATAATTTGCACACATATGTACATACTTATAGCTCTTATATACGTAAATATAGGAAATTTATTAAATGAACTCTTCAAAAAATCAAAAATAAAAACAAAAATAAACAAAGATCCTTTTTAAATTTGTGATTAGAACGCATTTCTAATGTGAGATATTGAAGCACAGATATTGTGAATAGTTGTCTTTTATTTTTTTGTTCTTCAATTTTTATGTTAAAAATTGCATAATTTTTTATTTATACACATTCATCTTTATATAATTTACATAAAGAATGGCTATTTTTCCTGTTAGTGTTTAAATTACAAGATACAAAAATAAAAGAACAAAAACAAAATAAAAATTGTACGAAGTTAACAGTTACAGCTTGCAATTTCGTTTTAAATGCATTTGCCACATTAAAAACCTAAAGTACTTATGTAATATGTATTTAACTGTAAGTGTATGCATATATGAAAAATATTACAGTCAGAAAGAAAAAGCAAAAAGAAAATTCCACGGCGCCTTAAGGTAAAAATGTGCGAGAGTGAGACTTTTTTTATACCCAAATGTTTGCAGTTGTTGGCTGTTTTTGTTTTTTTCCTTAGTAATGGCCTATTGAACTTTATTTGATAAAATATAAACATAAGTACATAAATTATAAGTAAAGTCTGTTCTTTCAACTAGACTTTGAAGTTAAAAATTTCAGTTGGTTGCTTTTTTTTCAATATTAAAGTAATATTCAAGTGCAAAATAAAACAAAAAATTGAAAGACAAAAAAAAATTGGAACCTAAATTCAAGTGTTGCGAGCCTAAAAGAAAATCTTTTTATGAATATCCGCAAAAAAAATAATTTTTTTTTTATCACTTATATTTGTTTTCTTTTTTGTTTTATTTTTTTTCTATTTCATTTTGTGTATTAAATATTAGTTCAAGTGCTATTGAATTTTCAGATGATGGAACATTATTAGAGCGAGGAAATTTTGTTCGAAAATCATTTTCTTGAATTTTTAAATCGCATAGTAGGTTATAATTAACGATAATTGAATTCATGTGTTATACATAATTATCATTTTAGTCCAACTTATGGTATTCGCAAAGAGCGTACAATATTCGTAAATACCCTCAAATACAACAACATAAAAGAAAGGATTATTCAAGACCGAAAATTTTAACTCTACTTTTTGTTTCAAAATCATTTTGGAACTGGTTAATTTTCTGTGGGTTAGACACATATATATAAAAGTTTTTTCTGATTCATAAGAGTTTCGAAGAAGTTTTTTCGAAAATTCATAATGAAGTTTACTATAATTAACGTGAATTACGAACCGAAACTTTATGTTAATTTCCAATGTATTTAAACCACTTTATTTATAAATTGAACTTTATGAAAAAATTAATAAGCAAAAGTATAGTAAACCTTACTGTAGAGTAGTGGAGGATATCTAAATATCTTATTTTATTTACCCAAATTTTAATTAATTTACGACAATGTTCAATTCGGCATTATTTTCAATTGTTTGTTGTTATATTTGCAAAAATAAATTCGGGTTAAATCAATTGTTTATAAAGTAAACTTTTTCCTAAACAACTAGAAATATGTTTTTAAAAATTAATCTACTAGCTAATTAACGTGTTAACATAATGGTCAAATCTCAGGTTAATAACTTACTTATATGATAAATAATTATTTTTTTTTATTAAAACATGGCATTTATCTCCCGTTTTTTGCTTTTATATAAATTTGGAAATACTTGCAGTTTCGGAAATGTAAAACTCCGAAAACTAAAATTTTACAAATTTTAAAAAGGCGATAACTTGGGAGATAGTGTGGTTGGAAAAAAAATTCCTTCTTACAAAATAAATTGTTTATTAACTTCTAAAGTATTAGATATTAGATATCAAATTCAGGTTCGTACGTTTATCGCTTAGAAGAAAAATGGTATCAAAAATTTGAAAAGAAGAAAGCCATTTCGTGATTGTAATACATACATATGTATTTTACTATGCTATATACTGCTAAAAGAAGCCAGTTGTTATTTTTTTGCACTTGCAGAATTTGAAAGATCTTTGTGGATTCGGTACAATAAATAGTTAAACATTAGTATTTTTTTGGTTTTTGGGAGTTTATAACATTTGTATTTTTTGGATTTTTGGGAGTTTATAACTTTTAGAGAGCGGAAGATAGATAAAAATTTTCTTTTAGAGAAATAAGTTTCTGGTAATGATCTATTCATATACAAATTTCAACTTTCTATCTTAAAAGATGTAAAAGTTTGGTAAATGAACATACGGTCAGAAGGAAACAATCAGAGTAGTTTCACTCTGAACTATTTCAATTTTTTTTTAAAATGCTAAAAAGTGATTTATATCTCACTAGTTGATTGTTTT